GTAAACTGAAAGCATGTCATCTGCATCATCTTTATTTGGTGGTGGTGCTGGTGGGGGACAAGGTCTCAGGATGTAGCCCAGCCTGGATACCTCAGAACCCTCCTGGCTTTAGCCTCTTGGGTGCTGCATTGATACTTATGGGAAAAAAACAGTGCAGTAATCTGTACAGAATATTCTATGGTATATTTAACAGAAGAAACTGTATTAAATATTACTTGGTATTTGTTTGTGTTTTGGTTATTTTCTTTCTTGTCATCATGCTGTTTCTAAGGAGAAGATTTAAAGTACAGCAATCTCAGGTGGGAGATATTTCAAGAGCCTGAGAACAAGGTGGATGCAGATGCTCCTTTGAATTCAGACTGTTGCTTTACTAGCTTATGAATGTGGTCTTTATATTGATTGATTTTTCTTTACTTCATATGTGAAATAGGGATAATCATAGTACCTCTACCAGAAGGTTGTCTTTAAGACTAAAGAGAATAAAAGTTTCCCAATAAATTCTCTAATAATTTTAAAACAAATTACATTTAAGAATTATAATTTTGTTTTGCGGGACCAAAATGGTAAAATTAATTAAAAGCGCTATGACACACCAATTTAGAATGATGTGTATGTAACACGTAATTGTCAGCTGCTGTCATTTTCAACATCAGTATCACCAAATGCTAAAGGGGAGAGTGTCTGGACAAACCTGGAAGGGTGTCTCCTGACAGTCCCTACTTGCTAAAGGCCTTGCAGACACTTAGAGCTCCACCTGACATGACAGAAACATGAGCCCTAAAGGTACTGTTACTACCTTTGACTTTTGAGTTGACACTGGATATGGGACAACATACTGCGAAGGGCTTGCTAAATCACTCATGAGGAGGTGGCCCCTACCTAAAAGCAACAGCTGAAGGGGGGAGCTCTAATTGAGTCATTCGATGTTTGTGGCATCCTCCTTTCAGATCTTCAGCGGACCGACAAGGAGCCTGGCAGGAGGAACCAAGGCCACCCCTCAATGACAGATAGGCTGACACTGTACACAGCAGACAGGGTAGGAGAACTGAAACTATCTTGTCATTACTGCCAAAGAAGAAACTCAAATATATGCTGTTATATTTCCAAAGAGGCTCAAAGAGCTCCGGGAAGTTTTATAAACTGTTCTTTGAGTTCTTTGTAGAAGTCCATACATTTCTGTGTCATGCTAAAATAAATTACTAGAATTCACCTTGATTGCCTGTTCCAAAGTTGAATACGCTCGTCATTTAAATGTTTATTTCTGTGTATTTTCCTCCATTAACAGACACATTAATGAGAACTGAGCAAACATCAGTCACATTCACAGCCATTAAATGAGAGGGTAGCATGTATTAGCATTCAGCTTAACTCACTGCAAAGCCAGGATCCCAAAAGAGGACAGGCTCTACAACTGCCAAGGACTATTGCCAGACAATATCCTACTAACGCCTGAGACTCTTAGTGTTCTTTGTACACTTCATGTCCGAATTTCCAACTTTAATGCAGTTGTATCTGGACTTCTGCTACCACTCTACATACAGAGGAGAAAACTACTCTTAAAGGTAAGACAAGGAGCTAAGAATTCTCCCGAAACAATCAGCTTCTCAACAAAATCTATTGTTAGGTGCAGAAGGCAACTTCCTCTGTGGCATTTTTCTTTCATCACTTCCTCAAAGTTCTTTTCTTTTTGTTAAAAAAAAATTCCGTGTGTGTGCCGTACATATACTTGATATATACTTGTTAGTGTGGGTCTGTATATGTGTGTGTGGGTATATGTGCATGTGTGTGCCACGCACCTAGAGGCCAGAGGCTGCTATCAGGTATCTTTCTTCCATTTCTTTCCACCTTTATGTTTTGAAACAGAGTATCTCACCGAGTCTGGAGCTTGTTGATTAGTCTAGACTGGCTGCCCAACGAGCTTTACGGATCTGCCTATCTCTACACCCTCAGTGTTAGATTACAGCTGTGCACCACCATACCCAGGAACTCAGGTCTTTGTGCCTGTGTGTCAGGCACTTACTAACTGAGCCATCTTGCCAGCCTCAAGGCTCTTCTGGGAAACTATGATGGAAACTGGCACCTACACTGCCACCACGTGCTGCTGACACCCACCAGCCCGAGGAACTTTCCTTGTTGGGATTCCCAACTCTCTCTTCTTCTTCCCATATCCAGATACACAAAAGAAACATTCAACTGAGTCCTCTTTAGTCTGATTAAGGGAAATAAACAACAGGGAAAAAATAACATACTACTTGTTAAGCAAAGTATGCTGGGTCCAAGACACTCTAAAGAAATGGGATCTTCCCTTCCTAGGACGTATATGACAATAATTTTTCTTCTTTCTGCTCATCCTCAAACTTGTAACCATTACATGGAGGAACCAAGAACTCTGAATAGGACCCAAACATTTTTAAAGTATTAATATCATTTTAAAATCTGAAAACACTAATCAGACTAACGCAGCTCATGGAAATGGCTTAAAGCAGATGATGCTGTTAAAAAAGGAAAAGAATTCACTGATACTCAAGTTGACATAAATGGATCATTGAAGATAAATATCAATTCCAGCTGGCAAGTCCAGACGAGGCCCCTAGACCAGTTCTTGCCCTGCACTTGAATAAGGCAAAATGGTAATTTTAGAGTAGTGGAATGTGCTTTGAAAGAAAGACAAAATTTTTCCAAGGACTTTGGAACTAATTACTTTAGAACAGAGTAACTCATAAAATGTATCCTTTTATGTAAGTGATTAAGAAAACGGGCTGGTCACTCAGGAGCAGCGAGACTTTGGAGCTGTGTAGGAACAGCCTCTGCATTACAGCCATCAGGTGCTTCCAGCAACAAGGCTGATGCATTACAGGCACTCAGCAGATCATCTGCTAAGAGAATACATTAATGCTTAATTGCAGACATGTAGGTCTGTGTGCTCTTAGTCTAAGCAATCTTACATTTTTATTACATGCATTGTAAATATTGGCCAACGGACTTGGCTAACGTGTAGATTTGTTAACTGGGGAGCTTACTGTATGCCAATTGATCTTAATTTTGAGAACGTCAGCATTCAGAAGATGATAGCTTAAATTATGGAGCACGGCATGCTAAGTACTCTGAAGTCAAGCAGAAGCCTCAGAACTGAAGTCTTTCTGACTTGGTCCCATCTTTCTCTGCTCCTTCTCTCTTGAAGCATACAGACCAGTGTTTCTGATCCCAAAGACAAGTCAGAGAAACAAGAACTCCTCTCCCATAAAGCAAGCCATAAAACCTAGAAGGTCCCCTTTCCCCTTTGCTTCGAAGGTCCTCATTCCAGCAGGGCCTTCACCCAATGCGCAGGAAGAGAGCAGGGCCTAGAGACCTGAGGAGGGCCTGAACAGAGGCTCTGCTGGCTTCTCCCTCACTCAGCTCCTTTTCCATCATACCCTGTCCTCTAGCACATTTCCTTATGTCTCCCCATTCTTTATCAACCCTAAGGAGACACTGATTCCAGCTTTCTAGGTATTTATTTCTGATGGCTCCTGTGCCACCTCAAACTGATTAAATAAATTTCTAGTGCTTTTATCTTGTGTTTCTGTTATAGATGTATCAATGACCTTTATGATGGGAAGGTATCCTATCTGGCTGACTCTGAGGAATAAGGAATTGAGTGAAAACCGGCTGCTGAACAATGCTGCCTGACACTAAAACCTACCCATGCCCTGTATATTACACAGTACGTCAATGCATGTGCTTAATTCCTATGACTGTTTTTCTCATTTTAACCATTATTTTTTATTTCTACATCCTCTCGCTACATCATATATCATAGTCCTCTGCAATACGATATCATTTGAAAATAGTACATGAAGACAAGGAGTGGACACGACAGCACTTACAGAGAAGAGAAGGTCGGTGTGTTAAGGATACAGTGTGCATGGAAGTGATGTGTATGGACTCTGTTTACACAGTCCACAAGCCTTTACGTTACACTTTTGCCTGCAGTAACAGGCACTTTGTATTTTTAGATGTGATCAGAATTAAGACCATGTAAATATTGTCACGATATTCAAATATTAATTTTTAGAAAGGGCCACGTTCTCTTTCCATTTTACTAAAGTGTAGTTTTCAATGGCTGCTAGTCATTTAAATTCTGTTTGTCACAGTATCTTCTTTCCTGTGGTACCTTAAGTTTTTGTACTATAATTCATCTTATCTTATTGGCATCATCTGTTTCTATATCAGTCTCTCTAATGAGACTGTAGCTTCTTTAAGGAAAGGTCTTCAGAGCTCCTTGGAATCCTAAGTGTCCTCCACAGAGTAGATTTGTTCCAACCCCAGCTACTTCACTGTCCCTTTTCATGCATTTCAGAGTGCTTTACTAGGACCCACAGTAATTTTTTTCCCTTTCATTTTTAACCTTATGGATCATCTGTCTTTGGAGAAAAGTTACAGTTTTTGAATTATATAGTATCTCAAAAATAATAAAAATTCTCCTGGCTATTATTTATTATTTAATATAGATAAGGAAAGTATTAATATTGCTTAAAAATTTGAAAATACTAATCACACATGTGCAGCTAGTGGAAATGACTTATATAAAAACAGATGCTGCAATAAATACCAGACTTAGACACCAATATGTCAATATACAAATGCCGTCTTTTATCATACACATCCGAACAGAAATAAATAACAGGAGAACTCCGTAAAGGACACTTGAAAAGCTGCCCCATAAATGGCAGCATCTTCTAGAAAATAAAGGATTACCCTTTCCCCCCAGTGAGCCCAAAGTAACTAAAAGATGGTTATTAAAATAGTTTGTTTCAACAATGCTTTCAAAGTAATGGGAAAATTCTCTCATGGTTTTAGTTCTTACATTTTCTTAAAGTAACTTGGAAAAAAAAGCTTTCATTTTTCAATAATATGATAAAAACATAAACCAAATCTTAAAAATTTATGACGGGGGTTAGCCATGTGCTCCTAAGTAATTACCTGGCAAATGGTATTAGTACAAAGGCTTAACCTCTTACCATCAAATCCATCTTCTTCGGACCCCAGTTCATCATCTGAGCAGATGTTAAGGACATTTACCAGCATCTCAGTCACTGAAGCCAGAAAGGAAAAAAAGGAAAGACAATTCAGATTTTCGGTTATATCTTTATTACTCTGACATGCTAATTAGCTACTTTTACAATAATATGACTTACCTAAAGTCAGATCTGTATATATATCTGTTGTCTAATCATTTTTCTCTAAATATATCTACCTACACTATTATAAAAGACAATCAGCCTTCTGATTCTATATAGGCTTTTTTATTTATTTCATCCTTATGAAACCTAGTAATATTTATTAAACATAGGTCAGTAGAAAATGGGAAAACCAAACATCAGCTGTGAACATCCTACAAAACTCCTGGGAGAAAATAGTTGTTTTGGAATTCTTTATTTTCACAGTGATCCTGCCTGATATAGCTCAGATGACAGACTTCTGTTTAGCAGGGACTGAGTGAACAGCAGATTCCTTTTTATTAATTTTTCTGATCCTTCAGAGAATTCAGCTCAGTGATAGGTGAGTATGTATTTAATAAAAACTGTTGATGGATGAACTAATATATTTGAAGTCATTTGGGGAATACTGGTTTTAGACATGAGCATGTTGACAGAAATATCATTACACTTGACTTCCAAAAAGGCTTTAAGATACTTGGGTAAAGAGGAATCAGAAATTCAGTTAAGTAAATAGATGGCAACAGGCTTATATAACAGTGTCATACACAGAAAATTAGTGCTGTGGTACTTTACAGCAATGTGCATGCTGGCACATTGAACGATTCTTGAAATTAGACCAGGTTTTAGGAATGTAATGCAATTCTTCAGAAGCTATTTTTAAGGTAATATGTTATTTTAAGAAATGTTCTTTTATGTGACGGAGAGTAAAACTTCAGTGCTGCTGAGTAGAATTTAATTATCAAAACTGAGTTAGGGTTTGCAATATATCACTATTCTTTCATAAAAGAGGGTCAAACTTTGAACAATTAACAGGAACCACCCATCTAAAGGAGACTAGTGCTCTAGCATGCCTGGCAGTTGTCAGGATTCAAACTGCTGTAATGTGTAGAGGAGGCAACAGATGAACTTGCCTGCTTGCTGTGACTGGACCAGTGCAGGACATGGCCATGCAGTCCAAGGGGGCCTTGTTACAAAGCACTTGTTATTTATTTGGATATACATCAGGAAATGTCTTAATTGGTGACTCATAACTTGCCTTGTGTAATTATTCTCAGATATTTATAAGACAAAAACCCCACTTACATACATGTAGGCAATACACTCATACACAGAAAATAAAAATAATAAATATTTAAAAAACCCACTCCATAAGTATTGTAGGGTCTCAAAACATGTATAGCTTTTTCCGAAACTCCCCATAAGACCTCATTTTCTGAGCTATGCGGAGATTTCTATTATTGTGCCCATGGCCTTCTCCTACATCATGTGCAAAAATGCATGCGGAATGACTCACTCTATCAGTCTGGCTTCCTGGCTACAGCTCAGGGGCTGCTGGCTTTTCCATATAATTTTTCCTGAAGTTTAGGTCGAAATATGAAAGCAAACCAAATGGGGAAGGAAGGGAGGAAGAAAAGGATGGAGGAACGGAAAGCTAATTCTGAAAAATTGGTGCGAGTAAGCCGATAGGCAACTCTAAATATCAATGTCTCACTGTTCTCTCCCCTAAAGCACACTAGGGCATGCTCTGTTTTTTAATGAACTCCATTTTTGTTGCTTTACATGTTGTCTTTCAAATTACTGCAGGCATTAAGCTATGCAATGGTAATTATTAACACGAGGACTATAAGCAAAACATGACTATTCTAACCTTTTAATATTTTATTTTAATTTTATGTGTATGAGTGTATCACCTGCATGTATGTAAGTGTACCTGTGTCGTGCAATGCCTGCAAAGGTCAGAAGAGGTTGTTGGATCCCCTGGAACTGGAGTTATGGATGGTTGTTTGCTGCCATGTGGGTGCTAAGAACTAAATTCTGGTCTTCTGCAAGAGTAGCCAGTGCTCTTCACTGCTGAGCCATCTCTCCAGAACCTAACCTTTTAGTTTGTCAGGTACTTTGTAAAATAAAAATGTTGCTTTGGGATTATAGTACCTAGAAGTAGGAAGAGAAGGCTTGAAACCAGAGAAAACTTTATTTCTATTATTATCTTAAAGAGGCGCTATATTATTCAGATGAGACTGTAATTTTTTTCAGTGTTCCTTGTTTGGCCCCAAATTACTCGCTGCATCTTGTAAACACACACAGGGTACACTTTGTTAACACACACAGGGTGCACCTTGTTAACACACACAGGGTGCACCTTGTTAACATACACAGGGTTAACACACACAGGTATACCTTCCCAATCTTTCTCTCATGGTATCAATTGGGAACTGTGTCAGTTAAAACAAGTGTTTCTGTGAGTGTTCATGGTAAAACAGAATGCATCTCTCTTTTCTTCCTGTACCATCATTAATTACACCTCAGAACTCTACAACATACCTTTCTCTCCAACAAATGGCAGTGACCAGGTGAAAACATCCATGAAATTTGGGAGCCAGTATGGATGGGGGGAACAGTTGAACTGCCTGATATTCATAACATTGTTCTCATATTTCAATACTGCAGCTAAACAAAAAAAGACAAAAAGGACATTAGAGTCACAGCCATATTTCTATTTCTATACATGGCCTTAGTTGGTGATCAAGAAAATTCAAGTATTTGACAAAAGCACCAAACCATCAATGCAAACAGCTTAATCAGCCCTGAATCTTGCACTACTTATGGACTTAAGCCTCATAGAAGATGCTATGCACAATGTGTGGATGGCAGATATGAAGGGCAGTGCAATCTGGAAAACATTTACAGAAAATAGTTAATCAACTGTCAGCAGTGAGATCAAGCACCTCTTGTGGCCAGGGGTGTTCTAGTCTTATATAACACCTTGAATAAATACAGTAAGATATTTGGATTGAGTCCCACCATAGAATACACTGCTGATGATAGCCTTGACTCAGAAAAAGCTGCAGCAACCCGGGTCTCCAGAAGCAATACTTTTTCCTGCTCCCTGAGGAGCCCGCAGGCTGGGCAGACCCTATGTGAACACAGTAGTCTTACTTCTAACAGGATATGGAGATTTCGTCTGTGGCAATCCTGGTCAATCAACATAGGGTTAACCGAGCTCTGTGAGCTCTTTCAGTGATGGTAGAACCACTTGTTTCGATGGGAATTCCTAGCCTATGTATAGTTGATCTTAAATTAAGGGACAGTCTGGGGTTGAATTAACCTGCTTTTAGTACCTACTGACCACTAACTTTAATTTTGCACCTGAAAAGATACAGAATAAATATCTTTCTGTTTCTAAATGATAACTCTTTAAATAATAACAATGATAATCTCATTTTTATTTATTTTTTGTCTTTTTGAGACAAGGTCTCTCTGTAGCCCCAGCTGTCCTGGAACTCACTATGTAGGCCAGGCTGGCCTTGAACTCAGAGATTCCCCCTGTCTCTGTCTCTGAGTGCTGGGATTAAAAGCATGAGCCACCATGCCTGGCTAAGATCTCATTTTTATTATCTGACCAAGGCATGACTAGTATTGCATTAACAATATGTATTCTGCAGATCTTATATAACACCAAATGGGCTATTTACGTTTACTAGTTGATTATACAGAAAACCATTTCATTACTTTTTATTTTTAAGCTGACTTTCATATGAAGAATATTTTGTAGCATGTGTTTACAGATAACAAAACAAAAGCAGCCTTTAAAATCTATTTGGGCTTGAGTTTTGACATGAATGCAGAGCCTCACACATGCTGTCTTTAACATAACAATGCTGTCAAAACTGCATTTGATCCCTCCAGAACACACTGGAATGTGTTCTCAGTTTCTGAATGTCCAAGTCCTTCCCAGGGCTTGGAACAAGGCCCAAGCACCATACCCTCAGCAAAACCTTTTCTGATTGCCTTTGGTGGACATATTATCTTGCTTTCCTTGAACTCTAAAAGCCTTTGACTTTCACACCCATGGTGTACCTGTCATGAAACTTTGATCAGTGTTATTCTACACATATGTGTATGTGCTTGACTTCTTCCCCTGTCTTAAAGGACAAGTACCACAGAACAGACTTTGGAGTCTTTCTGTGTCATGTATCACTTAGAGTAGATGCTCGGAAGGTGGATACAAACTTTGACATTTCCCCTACAACCTCCCTTCAAGCTAACTGTTCCCAGTCCCTTCAAGCTTTCCTTCCTATGAGATGCTTCTGGCTACTTTTCACTCATGCATCCACAATCTTGATGCATGCCAGACGGGCAGTGCCTCTGAAACTATAACCTAGGACTAACATAATCTTTTGTGTTGCTAGACGGGTGCAGAGCACAGCAAAAATACATCTCTTTATTTTGTGATTTGACTAGTTATAAATATTCTACTGCAGTCTAACAACACGGTGGTGTTTTTAGCAATGTGTAGTTAATTCATCTTTGTTTGAATTATAGACCTAGTTGACTAACATGGGTCCAGAGAACAGACTCAGACACACTGGACACAAGGTAAAAGCCACAGTTAACACAAGTATAAAGGAAGCCATAATTCTCTTCTTTTGAGAATACTGAATCCTGCATACATTTTGGGAAATTCTCTTTTACAGTATTCTATCCTTTATGCAAAATGCCATTTGAACTAGGAAAATTATTGTAATATTAACTTATTGTAATATTAAAAGCATTCAAAAGTGAAAAGTCACAAAAAATTACCCCACTAATATGTCTGGTCTTCAGGACAGGACAGGCGAGTATTTCTAGTGTTGAGTACTAAGTCCATGAACACGATCTGTAGTATGTATTATACTATCACATACATTTTTTTCATCTTCAAAAGAATCTTTTTAAGATCTCAACTGCTTTTTCAGAGTAATTCTCCTCTAAGTCAGCCTCACTTTTTATTACCATTAGGCTGGTGGTATAGCAGGAGGCTAGTGACGGTTCAGTCAGCCCTCACTAGCCATCGACACATGGATTCAAACAAAATGGCATGGAAAACGTTTGACAAAAAGAAACTGTCTGTACTGAACATGCAGACTTTTTTTCTTGCTATTAGTCCCTCAAGAATTCAGCATAGCAGCTATTCGCGTGGCTCTTCCACTGTATTTGGTATTATACAGTGATGTAGATGATTTAACACATAAAACATGATATATTTAGGTTCTATGCAAACATTATGCCCCTTAGTGTAAGGGACTTGAGCATCTTGGAATTGTGATGTTCACAGAGAGTCCTGGGGCATATTGAGACATGGCTATCTTATGATTAACATTGCTCTGAAGGACAGGAAAAGCTGTATGTCACTTGATTATCAAAACAGAACCAATCTTGGAAGGCAGGGGGCCTGTCCTTATCTGCAGACAGAGATATTTCAGTGGAGAAGTAAGAAATGTGATCGTGTCATGCAACTGGCAGCTGACAGACCTCATCCCCTTTCGAACTCAGCTTTTCCAGACACCAAACTCATCCCTTTTCCACTGTTCCTGGCTGTCCTTCACAAATTATACGTACATGAATTCCATTCCTATTATACTAGTTTATCTTTGAACATGGTATTCATATTTCAAGACATTTTAGCTTTTGCCAAAATATATGTTGGAGTGAGATGGTATGCAAATTCACAGACAGAGGGTGGGCTTCTTTTGTATTTTGTAGCTGGCGAGATAAAAACTTTCAACACTGGCTTACCACAGCTTCCTTCAATACCTACTGCTTAAGCTAATATTGCTTATTTTTGTTTATTAACAATAAAAATGGTATATTTCAACAGCAGCAAACATTTACTGATCATCTAGGCATACTCAGGTACTCTGTTTAGACTTTATGAGTGTAATTGCAAATCACAACATTTGACCAAAGGGATCTTATCATTTGTTTAAGTTACCTGCCCACATATTGAAAGCAGCAAATGTCAGCTTTTGGCCTGACTATAAAGCATTTGTTCTTTAAGTATATGTATGCATTCACCCGAACAACACAAACTCCTTAACGTCTATCAAAGTTTGGACACAGACTCTTTTTCCTTCCATAATTAATCTCTTTTAAAAAGAGCACTAGTCAAGAAGACCAAAATTCCAGACAGCTAGAATATTTTGTCACTAATTACTTAGAAGACCCAGTGTCACTTAATGTCTTTGGGCTACATCTCAGTTTCCTTACCTGAATATGTGGGTTTATTTAGAAAATGTATATGATATCTTTCCTATTTAAATGATATTAACAAACGTCTAGAAGAAAAACCTTATTATTAACACAATGACAGATTAATATTCTCAGTAAATTTACAGGTATTGCTAATAGATCTTTCCCTTACTCACTGACTTAAAAAAAGAATATCTTTAACTTATACAGCAAAACCTCTACAGGTATTCCTTTTTAATAACATGACATATTTGTGCAAAAACTCTGAACAACATCACATTAATAAATTACTCATAAATTTTGATATTTTTGCAAAATAACTATATATCACCCAAATACATGAAAAATTAGTCTGAAATATCTGCAGTCACGAAATCCACAGTTAAAATTTCATCTTCCACCTCCCACATCTTCCGCCCCTGCCTCCTGCCTTCATTGGGATTACAAAACACAACTGGAGCCCTATAGTGAGCTCTTCTCTGAAGTCTTGAAAGACTCCCATCTCCCACACAGTAAAGATAATATAAGTGACTGTAATTCAAGAATTACTGGAGAGACCACCTGTTGAGACTTTGAGAGACAAAAGGAAAAATAAAGTCTGCTGTCTACTATTGAGGAGCTTCTCTATTCTACTGGCAATGTCACAAGACCTCATATCACTTAACTTGTCTACCAGAGGTATGGAGAGACATCTGACACATTCATGGGCCTAAGTTATTCACCATGACTTAACAGCACAGACACAAAGCTTCTCTATTGCACTGTCAGGTGTGACAATCTGCAAGAAGAAAATTTATACAATGGCAAGAATAGCAGTCCTAGAAATCCAGAGGCTAGACTGTTCATTCTTTTGATGTCAGAATAAATCATTTGAAAATTATGCCATTATTTGGCCCAACCATTTTTATTTACCTGTAGAACTCTGTTTTCAAATGCATGTTTCTGCAGATTTCAAACCAGCTGCTAAGGGCCAAGTCCTTTTTGCTAAACGGGAAAGGGAAACTGGACCCCTATTATTAATTACTTCATTCATTTATGGGACTTCAGGGGTTAAGCCCAGGCCTCATACATGCAAAGCAAGCACTCTACTGTTGAGGACATCTTAAATACTCTACTGCTTTCAACAACATCACCAATCTTCTTGCATCCAGTGAGCCCAGGGAATATAATCCATACATTATGCCCTTGCTCTGTCACAGCATGCACTAAATCACTGGACTCCAGCCAAATTCGTGGAGCAAAGGGGTTTCTCTGAGTTAAAAATGTGGAATTGTTGGGACACACAGAAAATTCACTTAATAATAATTTCTAGACTTTGTCAACATCTTTTCCTGCAATAGTTAAGAGCGAGGAGAGCCAACAACACAGCCAGAAGAAATGGTAATAACAGCAACCGCAAAGGAGAACCTGGAAGGCTGGAGATGTCATCCAAACACTGC